AAAAATAAAGAGAAAGAAAAAACCACCACTACCACCACCACCACCAACAAAAACCCCTGTGTACCAAGCCAGCTGTGCCTCTAGGTCAGCTGCTCAGGGTCTTTGAATATTCCCAAACCACCTTATTCATTCAATACCTTATTATAGCAATATGTCATAACAAGAAAGAGGAGGAGGCTATGAGCAGGCCAGGTGAGTGCGACATACAGAACAAGTGGCGAATGTACAGTAGTTGCTTGTCTTCACTGAGCATGAGATAAGAACAGCTCTTGCCCCATGGATGTTAGCAGAACCTGGAGGGGATGTTGGCCATGGAGTGTCACTAGCTTGTCTCAGATAGCAGCAGCAACTAGAGAGGTGCAGCCGGCTCCCACAGGCCACAAGGCTGCAAGCAAGGTTGGTCCGGGAGGCTGATGGCAAGTGACACAGCTTTGCAGCCCTGGACCCTCTTTGTTCCTGATACTCTGCCCTGAGTAGTAACAGGCTGTGCTAGAAGCCTGGAAATCAGAGTCAGATGACATCATGACCAGGTCCAACCTGTTCTTCCACCTCCACAGGACCTCATTTCCCTAATTTGCAAGCTACTTCTGACTGAAAACTCAGCGGGTTGCAACTGTGTGCACCTGTGGTCCAATGTAAACCAACTAGCCTGGGCGTTGCTAAGATTATGTCATGCAATCCTTGAATCAAATGACAGAGCCAAACTTTAGAATGAGACCAAAGGAAGAAGAGAAAAGAACAGACAACGTTAAGCTAATGTTTCTTCCACACTTCCTCTGGGCACAATAACCTAAGAACAATGATTTGTGTTGGGCTCTGTTGGTCCCATGAACTTTACTGTGGCTTAGCAAATCTGTTCAGTATCCTGTGTGACTACTGCAATAACTGTATCTAGGCCTTGGCTGCCTTAAAAGAAGTCAGTACTGTACACGTCTCAAACACTTCAAATCCCTGCTCCTTCGCTGAGATCAGGAGGTGAAATAGCAAAGTTTATGAGGCGTAGCCTTACCTCACCTTGTTTCTTTTTGCTTTCTTTCTTTTTCTTTTGGCTTAAAGAGAGCTTTTAAAAACCACAGAAACATAACTTTTCGGTGGATTTTTCAGCCCATAGAGTTAGGAAGTAGGGAGAAATAGCAGCGTCTGTCACAGGGCCACTTCTTTTCCATCTCCTACAGGCAGACGCTGAGAGCATCACCGTGTAATTCCAAAACTAAACAGTATTCCCTTTAAAGTGAAATGCCAACCGGAGCAGCATCTGGCACACTTTAATGAGCGCCTGCATCCTTTCAGAGTGCTGAAACTAGGGCAGCCATTCATCTGAGAGGGTGGACAGTGCACAGCCAGCACACAATGGTGTGGTGTGCAGCACACGGGCATAAAAGACCCCCAAACATTTTCAAAGTCTGAACACAGCTTACTAAAACAATGCTGTCTAACAGTCAGGACTTGATAATCTCAAAGATTCTAAGTGGTACTGTTTTCTACAAGAAAACATGACATTAAAAGCAACGGCAGATTTGATAGAAAAAGTTTACATGTGTCGAGACCATCTTCCTAAGAACAAATAACAACAACAACAATAATAATAACAATAATAAAAGATTGAAAAGCAATAAGCAGTACTGATACCCTCACCCAGAGGTTTGTCTTTAAATGCCGGGGGCTGTAACCCGTGTCTACTGAGTAGGTGGTGCTTTACCATTTCTGAATCTCTTGCAAAGAAGAGCCAGCCCCAAAGGACAACTATCCACAACTAACCAACTCCACATGTTAACAGGGCATCTTTGTGGCAACCCCTGCCTTGGCCTGATAAGGAAAAAACTGGTTAGACAAGTATCATCCACATAAGAAGTAGCTGAGAAGGGAAAGGATGTGAAATTAAA